CCGGGCCGCCGCGGTCCGCGCCGCGCGCGGCGCCGTCGCGGCCGTCGCGCGCGAGGCCCGGAGCCTCGGCCGCGACGCGTGCCGGCCGCCGTCCGCGTGGCGCCTCGAGGACGTCGTCGTCGGCTTCGTCGCGTTCGCGCTCGACGTCCGGGGCCTCCGCGCGGCGCTCGCGGCCGCGCGGCGCCGCGGCCGCGACGGCGGCCCGCCGCGCCTCGCGGCGCAGGCCGTCCTCGCCGCCGCGACGGTCGCCGCGACGCCCGAGGCCGCCGTCGGCGACGTCGCGCTCGTCTTCGAGCACCTCGTGTCGTCGCCGCTCCTCGTCGTCCACTGGCTCTGCGTCTTCCCGTCCTACATCTACGCCCTCCGCCTCCTCCTCGCCAAGGCCGGCGTCCTCGCCGCCGACGCGGAGGTCCTCGACCTCGACTCCGGCGACGGCGTCGCCTTCCACCTCGCGCTCCTCGCGGCCGCGGCCTCCGCGGCGACCTGCGGCGCCGCGCTCTGCCGCGCGGTCCACGGCGACTACCACGCCTGGGCCGCGCGCGCGCTCCAGGCCGAGCTCTCCTAAATGGCCACATGTCTCTAGCTCGCGCGCGCGCCGGCGGCCCGCGGAGGCGCGCGGAGGCGGCGCGTCGGCGCGGGACGTAGCGGCGCACCCGGCGAGGCTGCGTCGAGGCTGCGTCGAGGCTTCTACGGAGCCTCCGGGGGCGGGTCGACGCCTCTCGGCGAGCGACGAGGCGAACCCTCGGCGATTCAACTCGAAATTTGCTCGAGCCCGGGCGCTTCGACACACGAGTGGTCACCTGCGACGTCGGCAAACTGGCAGTGTCCTGTCCGAACAACTTTAATTCAACTCGACTCGTCGCCCCGTCGCGCATCGCGATACTGTTCATAACGCGTATGCCAAATATCACGTCTGTAGGTTTACATCCGGCAACGCTGAAGCAAAACAAGTGTCGCCCGGCGCAGCAAAACGTGCGCGCGCCTCTTCAAAGCCACGCCAGAAGGTCTCGGAAGGTCTCGAAGGTCTCTCCGAAGGTCTCTCCACCCCTCCGCACCCGAGATTGAATTTTGAACGATTTTGAACGCGCGCCGCGTCTCGATTCGCCCTCGCTTCCGCCTCGACGAACTCCAACTCGCGCGTGAACGAGAACCCCCCCCCGACTCGCGCACGCACGAGAAGCCTGACGCACGCGTCGTAGGCGAGCGCACCGCGGGTCGAGCGCGCCGAAGAGCCCGTCGCGCCCATCGGACACGTCATGCACGCGGGCCTCGCGAAGCCCGAGGACGCGACGCCGACGCTCGAGGGTGCGACGCCGACGCTCGGCGGCGTGCGCGACGATCCCCTGGCCCTCGACCTCCAAGGCCTCCGCGCGCCCACGACGCCGCCGCAGAGCGTGCGAGTGGCACCGGCGGTGACGTTTTCGCCGGGCATGGAGGAGGCGTTGACGGTGCGGACGGTCGTCGTGCGGAACCTCGGCTTCGTCTCGTCGCAGTCCCAGTTGTGGTCGCCGCGGTCCCCGGAGGGCATCCTGTCCACGGCCGGGCGGACGATCGGCGACATCGTCGCCGCCGCGCCGGAAAACCACCGCGAGACGCACGATCAGATGCTGCGCGCGGCGGTCCCGGGGGCGCGCGCGGCGCTCCGGAGCGTGTCGAACGTCGTGCCCGTGGACGCGGACAAGCCGCGCGGCACGCCCGTCGTGACCGCGCTCGGCTCGGGGTCGCTCACCGACACGGGCTGCTTCGCGGACGGCTCGCCGCGGTCCAAGGCGTTCCGCCACTTCGAGGAGACCGCCGCCGCCGAGGCCCGGGACGCCGCCGAGGCCGCCGCCGCCGCCGCGGCCAACACCGCCGACGCGGCCGCGGCCGCGGCCGCGG